AAATTGTAAATTTATTTTTGAGAGACAGAGAGAGAGAGACAGACAGACAGAGCACAAGTGGGGGAGGGGCAGAGAGAGAGGGAGACACAGAATCTGAAGCAGGCTCCGGGCTCCCAGCTGTCAGCACAGAGCCCGAGGTGGGGCTGGAACTCACAAACCATGACACCATGACCTGAGCTGAGAAGTTGGAGGCTTCACTGACTGCACCACCCAGGCACCAAGCAGGAAGGATTTAATATAAGGGAATAAACATGAAAAGTGTCAGGAAGGGTTGGTGGAGTGGGCCCTGGGCTATACCTCCAGGAATATCTTTCAGGAGGACACTGTTGAAGCATCCACTCCTGGGGGGGGGGGGGGGGGACTGGGACCCCCTACTCTCCTGGAGGTGGAAACTAGGGAGCAGGTCCTGACAGGAATGCACAAACTGAGCTGCTATGGTAGTCTGTCTCATCAGAGCCCCGATGAGCCATAGATCCCAGCGGTCACACCCTGGGTAGGCGTAAGTCCCTTCAGTCGGGTCTCGTGACCTGCATTCACCAATAGGACAAGGTGGAAGTGATGCTGTGCCTGCTCTAGATTGAGTTCAAGAAGGGGCGCCTGGGTGGCTCAGTCGGTTTAAGTGTCCGACTCTTGATTTCGGCTCAGGTCACGATCTCTTGGTTCAGGGGTTTGACCCCCACGTGGGGCTCCGTGCTGACAGCTCAGAGCCTGGAACCTGCTTCGGATTCTGTGTCTTCCTCTCTCTCCACCCCTCCCCCACTCGCACTCTGTCTCTCTCTCTCTCTCTCTCTCTCTCTCTCTCTCGTTCAACAATAAACATTAAAATATACAGGGGTGCCTGGGTGGCGCAGTCGGTTAGGCGTCCGACTTCAGCCAGGTCAGGATCTCGCGGTCCGGGAGTTCGAGCCCCGCGTCAGGCTCTGGGCTGATGGCTCAGAGCCTGGAGCCTGTTTCCGATTCTGTGTCTCCCTCTCTCTCTGCCCCTCCCCCGTTCATGCTCTGTCTCTCTCTGTCCCAAAAATAAATAAATGTTGAAAAAAAAAATTTT